ATGCAAGATCGGGTTCGCGAACGAAGTCGGTAAGTAACTCTCTGTAGCCGGCGAAGTGTTCATCTGATCCTTCTCCTGTAAGAACAACCTTGATACCTTCATCACTGGTAAGCTTTGAAAGCAGGAATTTACCGACAGTCCCCAGATCAGTCACAGCTGTCTCGTTGTGCCAGACTGCGTTCTCGATGTTGGCTGCAAAATTCTCTTCGGTCATCTCGCAGTGGTGCATCTTGACTCCGAGCCAGTCCGCAGTACGACGCGCGATCGGCTCCTCATCATGTTCTTCACCAATAAACTTAACACTGAAGCAGTTGATCCTTTCTGAAGCTGGAGCGGTACCAAGCTGAGCACCTTCCGTGTCCATAAGATGTTTCACCATTCCCGCTATTGCACTGGAGTCAATACCGCCGCTGAGAAAGACACCAATCGGCACATCTGCACGGAGGCGGTCTCGTACGGCATCTAGGAGATGTTTTCGTACGCCCTGTATCATCTCATCTTCACTCCTTGTTTCAAGCTCACGCTGACATGTGTTAGTGATGTTTGTAATGCACCTACTGTTGCACGTACCTTGTCTTTGAAGTCGACATCCCAATACTTGTCTTGCGAAATGGTGCCGAAAGACCTACACAACAAATAATGACCAGGCAGTATCTTGGAAACACTTTGGAAGATAGTTCTTCCATCGCACAACCAGCCCACGTCTTTGATGCTTTGCACGTCCCACTGAGGTTGCCAACCGAAAGGAAGGAATGCCTTCATCTCGGAAGCGACCTAGGAGGTGTATGTGAGTCTTCAGTATATGCGAACGGTACTTGATCACCATACCAGCAGTTTGCCATCTAGGACCGTGTAGTACATGGGCTTGATGGCATATCGATCGCATGCGGCGATAAAGATCTGAGCCTTAGAGTCGTATAAACATAGTGAGAACTCTCCGCGTAGATGCGACAGAAAGGATAAACCATGCTTCTTGTATAGCGCCAGTGCAATCTCGGAGTCTGACTGACTCTTGAATTTGTAGCCCTCGCGACTGAGGCGATTTCGGATCTCTTGATAGCCATAAAGCTCGCCGTTTACTACGGCATGAATAGTGCCGCCTTCATCATGGAATGGCTGTTCACCTTCCGGGTTCAAGTCGACGATCGCTAGTCGGTTGTGGGCAAGAGCTAGGTGGTGAGCAAGTCAGTTGTGTGTCTGTGTCCGTTGCAGCTGCAGTAACTTCTCCACGTACCCACGCGACAATCTTCGCTAATCCAGTGGCCTTCTGCATCGGGCCCACGATGCTTGATGTTATCCAGACTCTGGTCCAGTGTCTTGCTCAACTCCCCACGTTCCTTTGCTAATGGTCCATGACCCCGCAATGCAACCGCACAAGTGATGCCGCACATGATTACGCGATTCAAGAGATCCAAAAGAAGAGAGTGTGCAGCGCTTCCCCATATCTTTTCAACCGAACTTCGGCGGTGCCTCTAAACATGACGTAGATACGAAATTCGTAGCGGTGATTGTTCAATTATGTTCGATTGTTCCTGATAAGCCCGCATCGCTTGTTACTTGTTTGGGTGTTAGTGGGCGCCCCTGGATCGCCCAGATCGCGCGGCTCCTGGCGGGACCTTCGAGCTTCAACAAGCACAGTTTCGAGTCTTCCACACATTTTCAATTGTGTTATCGTGTTGTTTTCGCAAGGGTTGTCAAAGCCAACGTTCGTCATCATCCACTGGCAGCCCTCGGATATAGCGACGGTAGTCCCAACCGTGATTCCCACACTTGAGACATTTCTTTTTGTGCTTGCTATCTGGGCCCGCCATATGATCTTCGAGGTCCGAGGGGCGGAATCGACAAAATGACTCTCTCGACTCTAACCCGAGGAGTCCATCTTCGCTGACGACGCGGTACCTTTGCAACCCGGGACAAGCCGCTGTTGCACGCTTTCTGCAGTGGCCATCTAAAGCTACCAGATCTTCGCTACGCAAACCCTCTTCGGTCAAGTCCCATGAAACCACTAGCTTCTTGATGAAAGCTGGTTGTGGCCGCCAGTGCTTTACCGAGGAACAGTATTTGTTGAGCTTGAGGTTGCCTTTCTGACCGACAGGATCGTGCGCATACGTAAGGCCACTTTCTAGAACGAAGAACAGGCGTCTGAAGCTCTTGCCGATGTGCGTATACATCCTGTGTCCTGGGCCGCTTCTCAACGAGCCCGAGAAGTGCAAGGTCAAGCTGTCTAACCATAAGCTGAAGATAGCGTTCAAAGGTCGGAGGCTTTCGAAGAATTTTGGGTCCTGACAGGCGCAATCATGGATTCTGTGACCAGGGACCACCAGTGTCAAATTTCGCAAGGTGTGAAACTTGGAATGCATTCCGACAGGTGTTCGTGTTATGATAGGGAGCAGAATGAGTACTCCTAGCTCGCTCTGTGAGAGGACGTCCTGCTTGTAAGCCAGCAGCCACGCTTTTGTCGTGCGGATCGACACTCGTTCGCACTCGTGCTTTGCTTGACGACACGAAAGGATTAGTCTGCGGCATTGTTCATTGTCGATGGGCGGAAAGTCCAGAAGCTCGTATACGGCAAAGCGGATCTCGGCCGGGAGCCTAAAGAGAGGCGATGAGGTCTGTGCAACCTGAATTGGAGACATTTCCAAATGCTCTACGACGAAAGCTAGAGTGCTCAACGATGAGACACAGTTTTCGAATAAGATCTGGTAGTTATATACTTCGATTCTCTTATGTTGCTGCCTAAATCTAGGACATTTGCTTGGCTGACGCACAACCTCCACTCTTCGACCTACTTCCGCTTTCAGAAGGAGGATTGAGGGCCCAAGAGTCCGTCGGATTATTACGATTGTACCCATCAAAGTGACATGGACGAGCCAATTGCGGTTAGTTGAGTATAGCTTTGTCAGGCTGTCATTCACTACTCGTTACTGGCTTGACTACAGCTTGATCGTTCAACCATGTGTCCCCTCTGACCTTTGACACTCCCGACGCTCTCACCCCTGGTTTTCAAGCACCAGTGTTGAATTTTATTCTCCCACTTCCTAGACCTCATATACACAATATTCTAAACACACTGTCTGCGGGTTGTCCTCGCTCTCGATGGGCAGATGACTAACCATTCCTATTTATGCAGCACGTGAGGAGGTAGGATAGGTAGAACAAGGATGTGGCATGTTATAGGGTAAAGCATAATGTATTTAGCGCACCTCTAACCTGGTTTCTCTATCTTCTGAAACAAAAAAAAACATAGAAATAAACGCAGAAGCTCTAATAACAACAATGTAAGACGGCAGAGATTAGAAGCACATTGTATCTGGAAATCATATCCCATCCAGATCGATATCCCACGGACAAGTAGCTACTTACAGCTACCCCATCGCCAATAACACGAACGACATGATCGATATCGTCCAGAGAAGTAAGTCAGGAACCAAGGAGGTGACTGTTCAGATCTGACATCTAGACATAAGCCTTGTCCAAGTTGCTGGCGAAGACGTCGTTCCTGAAAGGTACATTTGCCTTTCCAAAGAGGTCCCTGGGAGCAAGAGCTTGCCTAGCAGCGGTCGGCATAGCATCCCAGTCGCTGATCCAGTAGGTGCGACCGACGGTGTTGGTAAACTGCGTAGCGTGGTTGTAGGGGAACCTGACGAAGTACTCCACTTTGACGTTGTTGCCTTGGATGTTGGGGCGCGCGGTGGGCGAGTAACCGCCATGGCCGGATGCAGCAGCACCGAGGATACGGGGATTGGCGTTCGCTGGATTGTCAATCCAGACGACAACACTCTCCTGTAAAGGTGTAGGCACCAAGTCAGCAAATGTCTCACATGCATCTCGTACAGTCACAACTTACCCAGTCATGGCGGTGGCCGCCTACGACGTTGCCAGCGGTTGGCTGGTCCTTGGGCCAGTACCACGCGTACATGATAGCGAACTTGCCCTTGTGCCATGCTGCTCGAGCATAGGTCTGGCCCTTGTTTTGGTCACGGCATCCGGCGCTGACATTTCCAGTATCCTGGAGACCTCCACTGTGAACAAGATGTGTGAGCGCTTGAAGTTTGAGTGCATCATCTCGTAAGCTTACCTGGTGTTGCCATTGTCGTCAACTGCAGTGTAGGGCTGACAGCCGTGAGCAATGTGAAGCAAGGGCTGGAACTTCAGAATGGCACGACCAATCGCTCCTCCTTGCAGGCGGGTCCGGATTGGGTTGAGGGAGTCGTGCGGAACTACAGCGCGAGTATCAAGCTGAGTTGGAGCGGGAGCTGCCAGGACGCCTGAAACTGCTGCAAAGGCAGATAAGATTGTAGTGAAATGCATTTTGGTGTAAAAGAGTGATAGAGCAAAAGGCCACTAAATTGACAAGGAGAGTGTGTGTTGATGTACAGACTGTGTTGATGTGATCTGCGGGAAGCTGTGTCTGAACTGCAGAGGGGGTTGGTGGTGTCTTTTATGTCCAGAGCTTCTGCGCAGTTCAAGACGCCCTGCTGCTATCTCACGATAGTAAGCTCGTGATACCTTTCGGTGACATTATTCGGTGTTAAAGGTCTTGGTAAAAATGCATCTATATTGCATCGAAATATCACCGTACGGGTTCCATGAAGCTTGAGAAGTCTAAGAACTAGTTTCCTTACAAAGACACATGCGCCACGTGCGATACGATGCTATTTTGCTTCCATAGCTTAGGAAGATGCTTGGCACTCATGGATAACCTAGGACAGACAGGTGCCAGTGGGTCGGCGCCACGACTACTCAAATTATACGCAGTACAATTTGACGGTTGAAAACCTCACCAGACGCATTAAGTCATGACAATATTCTAACAATAAGCCAAGCATGGCAACGTCAAATCGCAGGGTAAACTCATCTTAATGCAGGCTCTGTAAAGTGTGAATAGGAATCGTCCCATGAAGGAGAATTTCATAGATGCCAGAAGATATCGACATACCAAGACCTTCGTTCAAATCCCCAACTCTCGGTAGCTTGTATTGCGGTTGGGATGGGTCAGCATGGATACCTGGGTGTGCATTGTCTTGAAACGCGACAGTGGCCTGATCCAGTCTGGAGTGAAGCCATTGCTAGACGTGCAAAAATTCAGCTGCAGTTAGTTCCCCAGGTTGCTGCGCCGAGACTATGCCAGCTAAAGGCTAAGTCTGTAAGCGGCCACCTCTAGCCCACGTCTAGGACGTCGCGATCTGCGTGAAGGGGCTAGAACTGACCATGTGGTGTTGCACTGCACAGGCCACCCTACCAAAGTCGCTCCCAGACCTGCATCGAAGGCATAAGGAAGGAACTGGTGAATCCCTACAGGCGCCAAGTACTGGTGCCCCAAGAATGAGGCCGTGTTGAATGGCGTTGTCTTGTTAGTAGCAGTACGTGTCCCACGAAATCCAACATTGTACCTAGTTGCAGCAACTAAATCTCAGCGTGGATGGGAAGTTCCGTAGACGGTGCACTAGGGATCTCTCGCGATGACGTGCCGCACGATTCCGGGCTGTGGCGTGCTATAGCTAGCTCGTTTCGCTCGCGTCGGCCCTTTACACATGGCCGTTCATGCTGCTCCAACAACTCAGCCGAGCAATCCTAGGACACATGTAGTTTAGTCAGGTACCAATTCTAGATCGAACCCAAGACCGTCTTTCATGTCCCGGTCCGGGTCTCTAGTCTGACCAAGCGAATACGTCGTTCAGTCTTGAATAGGGTAGTCGCAATCTTACATCGCTCTTGTCCCGGAATCTGGGTCTTGAGCTCTGATATCGGTAGCTTGGCGACAGATTTTGTGTTCGATAGCGGTGCCTCCCAATGCTTCATATCTCTTTTCAATACAGTATTATGTAGTTTGTCGCTCCTTGTTCATACGTAATCACATGTGGCGAGATGTCTGGCGCAATAAACACATGTATGGAAAATTTGATTCGAGAAACACGTGGGCGGACTGTATAGCCAGTAACCGAATTGGCAAGCTGTTGTGTAACCCAAGCTGAGATGATGTAGTGTTCGTGCGGGAGGACTTTTATCACACGCCTACCCAGCCTGAAGCAAGCTTGATCAATCCGTAAGTGGTCTCTTCTTGTTTGCGCAGATTACAACTTTTTGTCCTCTCCAAAAACTACGGTATTGTTTTTCGTTCTCGCTCAATTGGCCTCGGCCGGCCCACTCCGATACGGGGTTGCCAGGCTGTTGGCTCCGCAATGGTCATGGCATGCCACGCAGAAGGAGGCACTACCTGGTGAGTTACACGTGTAGCTACTGCTCCTGCGTACCAATACGGATGCCTGTGACACTGTTTTTGGTACTTTCCAGGCTGCAAGGGCGACGTCCCTTTTGGCCCCGGTCCCTTAGAAGGTGGTTAAATCTGCTTCTATTTGTTGTCCCGTCTGACATTCCACGGACAATGTTTGTAAGCCTGCCAACGAATATCCGCAAACACTTTTGAGCTTAGTCGCGTAGGTCGAAAAAAGTTGAGAGGTTTTCTCTTTGGAAGGGACCGAAGACGTGGCGGGGTTGAGGCAGTAATAGCAGGGCCAATGGACGCAAAGCAAAGCACACAAAAACTTACATAGCTTTTATTCTGCTTGCATTGGATGCAAAATTTTGCGAATAATGTTCATTCTCAGTACATCTTCACGAATCTCTTAGTTATTGAGAAGCTATTGGCCGGTAATGAACCAACAGAGAAACGGTGTGAAGAGTCCAGAACCTGATACGCCTGGGCGTGTTAATCTGACATTACAGCGACCACAATTCCCATCCACCTAGTACCAAGGCTGCGGCGAGTCCTGGCTGTACCGACGCACCTGTTGCGACGGCAGCGTTCGACGAGGCAGGCGACTCAGTAGTCGTTGGGGCTGCAGTAGCAAGACTCTGTGAAGCAGACAGACTTTCTACCACGCTAGATATGCTGCTGACCATGGCTCCATCAGGCTTGATGGCGCATGGATCCCCGTTGTCTCCTAACAGTAACTGATCCAGTGAACAGACGTCCAAATCGCTCGCGTGGACCCTGGCGAAAGTGCCCAATTGCGCGCAATTGTCTGTGACATTTCCGAGCGCATTTGGATCAGGGGCACTCCAATCACTGGGCGATATGGATGATACGGGCCAAAGGGTAAAAAGCACTTCTCGAGTTGAAGTTATGACAGGTCTGGGGTGGTCGCACTGGGCATCTATATCATGCCATTGGATATACCACTGCAATGCATATGCAGTGCCTCCGTAGTTTGGTGGATGATCCCATTTCTTTGGATTAGTGTAGTTGACCAGAATGTACGGTGATCCATCGGTGTTGGTGAACGTGGATACATTTTGCGAGGTGAATTTCCTGTCCCATAAATCCTCAATCACGCCCCCCGGGATGGGATTCTCGATGCTGTTCCACGGCATGATATCCCATGTGAATTTGAAGGAACCGAGTTCAGCAGCCGCAGTAAGGTTCTGGAAGGCGAACACGATGGGCAATGAGGAGGTGAAGTTGTATGTTTCATTTCTGCGAGGAAACAAGATGTCGATTTCGAAAGCTGGAAGGTTTGAGGTTGGGGCTGAGGTTTGAGATGATGTGGGTGTGAAGGAAGCGACGGCTGTTGCTGTGGTCTGAGCAGAGGCTAGGCAGCAGACAGTTAGAGCTGCTGCTGCACACCGAGAATAGCGTGACATCGTGGTGTGAGACTTTTGCGACAACTCAGGACAATTGTCACAGGTGGTTCGGGAGGGAACCGTGTGTATTAGGTCTAACGAGCTAACTAAGACGGGATGGGACCCCTATATACCCGGCATGCGCCATCCTTGGCAGTCATGTGACAGCAATTAAAATCACAGCATCATTCCTTCAATATTGTGATGTGGCAATAAGTTTGTCGCGTCGTGTACCAAAGCGAAAAGACCCTTTACAATCTTAAGATGCCGTGCTGCCGTTCAGGCGCCCAACTAACCGTATTTTGTACGTGGTGATGGTCTCCTTCTTCCCTATCACCTGACTACACTCTTTACTCTCAGTACTAAAGTCTAGAAGGAGTAGAATTCAACCTCAGCGATACCAGTTCTTGCCGGAATTGTTATGGCAATAGGAAACCCTCCATAGTCGGGGTCTTCATTTGGCATCATCGCGTTCGCTCCACTTCTCGTCTCATCACCACCCAACGTTCTTAGTGTTCGTAATGAACCTGTCGCTACATCGTCTACAATCTTCTCTTCATTCCTTAGGATACCGTTGAACTTTGTGTCGGCCTTTGTCGATCGACCCATCACCTGAAAACCCCAGCCGATAAGTAAAAAGCTCGCTCCGCCACGATGAATGACCATACCGCTGCCAGTTCCAGGCTTGCCAAAGACAAAGGAGCGCTCTACAGTAATATCCCAGTCGCCGAAACGTTGCTTGATTGGTTTGGATGAATCTCTATCGCCGATCATTTCATCAAAACAGAAGCCAACCGACGAGCCTGGATTACTTTGCGCTTCAAGGACGATCTGAGAGACCTGTGATAAGAGTCCATAGTGTTTCGTATAAGGATTTTTCTCAGGCTCTAAAGTGTCGATGCCGAAGGGGCTAGCCAACAGAGCTTGAAAGGTTCCATAGGCTATCCAAATCCGACGAACGCCATATTCATCTCTTCGCTGCTCAGGGATAAAAAGCGTGTTACCGCCATGTCGGTACTTCGCGCATAAGCCAGTGTACTCGTTAAGATAAATGTCCGGCGCAATGAACTCGAGGTCTGGCGCAAATCGTAGCCATATATCAAGAACGTTGCTTGTTGCGCCTCCGGAAGGATAATCACCAGGCTCTCCGCCTCCGCCCACGACAATAGGAGTGTCTTTGTCAGCATCCTCCCCAGCATAGTTCTGCCATACGTTGGTGTACAACGGGATTGTGTATACGGATTTACCAGCCGCTGCTACACGATTGACGTAATGTGCGTAATGGTACGCCATGAAGAGCTCGTCAGTCCTGCTACCAACGCCAAACACTTCCTCCCATGTACCAGACTGCGGCTTCGAGCGTGCGACGAAAGTCTGGAGGTTGGCTTTGAGATCGGCGTGTAGCCGATCATAGTCGTTGCTCAAGAATTGAAGAAGTTCTGCAGGTACTGTTTCAGAGAAGACTTGATTAGCCTTCTCACTTCCGTCCCGGCTGTCGAACAGAAGACCGACTTCGTTCTCGACTTGCACCATCAACACGGTACTGTGATCTTCATCTATCTCTTTGACATGAGCAAGCAGCTTTTGAAATGCTTTCGCATCCGCTTCAACATTCTGCTTATGGAACAGAGACAAGACATCTGCAATCTCAATCACTCCTCCGGCCTTTCGAAGTTCAGCGCGTGGGAAGCGTTTCGGATCCGTCTTCACCCATGATGGCGTGTAAGTCGATCTGCCTAGCGATGCACCTATCAGTATATGGAAATAGGTCACGAGAGTCCCGACTCACCATTCTTAAATGACCCGAACCATAATAAGATCAGATGTAAGCCGTGTCTTCGTGCATCCAATATGACTTTGTCCAGCTCTTTAAAATTGAACTTGCCTTCCTCAGGCTCAATCATCTCCCAACTGACGGAGCCAAGAAGAGTATTGACATTCGTTGCAACCATCTTAGGCCAAATCTCGCTCATGTATTCGGCAGATGAAAGCGAGGAATTTTGCAGCTCGCCGCCTAGCATCAGATACGGTTTGCCATGAAGAATAAGTTGTTTGGTGTTTCCAGATTGTCGGAGGTGAGGAATTGAGGAATTCGAAGTCATGATGGACGACAAAGACTCGGAAAACTCGTGTATGTATGCAACAATACGGAACAAAAAGACAATCCTCACAGCTCAGGTAGGCAGTCATAATCGTTCACTCTGGGCGCTCGTTATGCAACAAGTGGAGCTTTGCGGGGTTGCTCCAGCGGGGTAATACCCACCGAACAGAGGACTTCGTGAGATCTACCGGTGCTAGAAATGCAGCTACACTACTTACACCCCAGGGCCTCTAGTGTCAGCAGCAGCTGCATAGATCTCCTAGTGGACAGCAACAATAACTCTTTTGTCCTTGATATCGTAATCGCCCTACCTCCGGCTGGTGTTGCAATGATGACGCGTTGGCAATCATCCAGAGCGCATGGACCAATACTAGCTACCAGCCTTATGAACCGGCATCATCAACTCCGCTCTTCATCAGTTGGAAGATGCATCCACTGTCATCTTGACCAATAACCTAAGGGCCAGCTTCACTATCCTAACCTTGAGACTACCAAGTCTAAGGCTGATGCCGATGGTTATCTACTAAAGCTGAATTGCGTTCGTACTATGTAACATGGTCTAGGATATGTAAAATGCATCTTGCGCAGGCAATATGACTCCGCCATGTACTGCAATCAGAAGAGAGGGCGCTTCATTGGTGAGAAATGGGAAACTACGTAGTTATGTACAAAACAATATGGACCACGTAGGAAGACTGAAAGGTTGACCGCCCGATAGTGATCGTATGCTAGCAACATACCTAGGTATTCATGCCCCATAGAGAGGTTTTCCTACAAGAAGTACGCGTCGAAATTACACAAATCCAATCCTTCCAAGGAACGCCTCAAAATCACCAAATCCTTCCCATCCACCCACTCCATTAACAGTCTCCGGACTCCACTTCACGCCCTCATCTGCGCCAGGCCCATAGTATGCCCATTCCTTAATCATGATCATATTTTCCAACAGCTCCTGCCCAGATTTCCACTCTTCATCTGCCACTTCCCTGAACTCACAACTCTTTCCCGTGACATTCACCACAGCTGCGCAAACATCGAGAGGTGTGACCCATGCGCTCGCAGCAAGCACGTGCTTGCCAATAGTGGCTTTTGGATCAGCGAGACATGAAGCTACAAATTTCCCAAAGTCGGTGGGGACGTCTAGCATTGGAATCAGAGTATCGGGATGGAAAAGCAAAGATAACGTGTATGCGCCGCCATCTTGACTCGGCTTGATAGACCCAGGAATGTTTGTCATGAAATAGCCTGGAAGCACGAAAGAAGCCGGTTGACCGGCTTTATTAATGTATTCTTCAACCATGGCTTTGCTGTCAAAGTGGTGTAGGTTCGCCAGTCTTCCACCAGTGATCTTTGATACGCGAGGTAATGAAGACCAGATTAGGTGCGGAACCTTCGCTTCGATGCAGGCGTCTGTCAAATTACGGCCCTGCTGGACTTCGTGGGCGAGTGATGCCATCTCCCAGTACTATGATGAATGTTAGAGACAGACGGCAAGAGTGATGAATCACAGTGAATAGTACATTTGTCACGCCAAAAACAGTGTCAGATCCGGTAATAGCTTTCAAGATTGACTCCTTGCTGTTGAGGTTCGCCTAACATATTCAGTTTGCATTCAATTCACAATCATCGAATCAACAAACTCACAGTGACCATCTCGACACCCTTTGCTACCATGACTTGCGCATCGGGTTTATCGGGATTCCTTGTAACTCCGCGCACCTTCCACTCTTTACTTAACTGCGGATGATTCAAGATAGCTTGCACGACGGATCCGCCCTGTTTACCGGTAGAGCCGAAGACTGTGATGAGCTTGGTCATGTTGCAAAGCCGAAGCATTCGCGTCAAGTGCTGTTCTGAAATAATGAGATGCTGTTTTAGCAACAAGCACTGTTGCTAATTATATAGCCCATCTTGTTCAAGCTATTCTTACGGCCGCAGAAATGCGTGGCACTACGCAGTATGCCCATTATGCATCATTCGAAGGTTGTACTCGCCCACGTGTTAAAGGTCGAATGACAGTAGAAAGCTTCATCAGATGAGTAACGGGAGAGTAAGCTGAGAAAGCAGGTGAGTTGGACAAAGAAGGTTAAGATGGAGACCAAAAGCGGGGTGATAGCTTGATACATCGTTAGTGCATAGATGTGGGGGGATTACTCACCTAGGCGTACCCCTCGGCGCCTCGTCCACAGCGATACCTGAGGTCAACAAGATAAGTCGGGCTAGTGGAATGTTTGGTGAAGTCAGTCGATACTCTCTAACATTGCTTATATAAATGTGCACAAGCACATAACCAGGGTTTGCAACGATCCCTCACACTTACAAAACCCCAACAGTATACACCCATTACCGCGCTACATCGATCTTCTTCGTCCCATTGTATATAATACACTCATCCGTAACGATTGATCATCTCGTTCTGTTCTCTTCTTTCTGAATATCAAGAATTTTTCCAACAACTGCTCTCAAATGACCTGCCCTGGCACGCCCAAACCTTGAACCGTCTCGTTCTTGGAATCAATTTCGCGTCTGAGGAAACCCTAGTCATCACCAGGTTCAACTTCAGGCTCAAAAACCCTGGCATCAAGACTGAAGCTCTTAAGGTCAGGAGCCGGCTCGGCATAGTAATCATCAGTATCCTGAAAGCCGCCGTGGTTGTATCGAGCACTGCCAGCTCCGATTTCGCGAAGAGGTTTCTTGTCGCAGCCATTAGCGACAAGGTTACCGTAGGGGGGAAACACTCCGCCTCTTCCAATAACTTCTCTTTTTGCGGCCTTCTTTGCGTCTCTGGCAGCGTCTTTTCGAAGCTTTTTGCCGTACCACTCCCACTTCTTCATCCCGGTGGGAGTGAGCTCTTTTTGATTTCCAATTTGGTCACTTGTCGGGTCTTTAGTGACCTTGTCCCTTCCTTTCTCTCCGCTCACAATCAGCTCTTCATCTTCTTTCGCAAACATGTACCTTTCTCTAACCCAATCTTTCCTCTTCTTGTCGACATCATGACGCCTTCCAACAAACCCACCCAGTATCGCTGTAGCCCGTAGGTAAGACATATCGGGATCGAAGGGACTTTCACCTTCTTCTACTGGACGATATACCTCTTGACAGTGGTCGGTCTGGAACAGAGGTTCAGCGGTGGACCAATTTCGCGTTTCATTGGCAATATTGGTTACGAGAATTTCAGCGTTGGAGGAGAAGCCAAACAGTGTCGCAGGTGTCGCGTTAGTCCAGAAGTGGACTGTGGAAGCCTCGCGCTTGATTGCAGTTATAGGCGATGACTCGGCAGTTTCCTGTATCTGATCTTGCCCAGAACGAGCAGGAATTGGTTCTTGCTGGTTCCTGTTCTTACCACGCCTGCAAACGTATCTTCGACTGCGTTTGCTCCATCTATGACCAAGTGTAGCACCGGCTTGGCCCTCCGCCTCGTCGACAGTTTCTTCATCTACTAGAGCGCCACCGTGACCAGTGGTTTGCTGAGGCGAGAGTTCGTGACCCTCCTGCCAATTTGTGTACGCCCTGTCCATCTGTCTGAACTCTATCTCTTCATCAGTTTGTGACCCTCGAGAGTTTTACTCAACAAATTGATTGCAGCATCATCGGATTCCTACCAGACGGCTTGTTGAGTATATCTGCACCTGTATTTCTACGGAAATAAGTCCCAGAATGATTTGTTGTCTTCGTGCCGTAAGCAACTGCTTGCAGTTTTGTGGTGTTTGTGGATGTAGGAAGAAAACACCAAGAATCAGGCGCTAGTGCGTGAAGTGCAGCCTCAAAAAATTTCTTTGTAAGCAAGCCTTGGCTCGCGTTCTCTGTTATGCCTCCGAGGAGTATCGTCGAAGTTTGCTACAGAAGATCTGCTGCTGTGGAGAAGACGTCGCGCCGCCGGACAGTACATATACCGACGATAATGTAGTGCCGACTACAGCAGCAGATGCAATATCCGTGAATGGATTACACGAAACAGATAATGCTTCTCTAGTACTAGCGAGAAGTGTTCCGTGGTATTAGTATTATTAAGTAGACATGTACAGTATCGTTCCAGCATCTAGTAGTAATTACTTCCCTCCCAAGCCCACATCGTAGAAATTAGCTCGCACAATCATCTTAGAACAAGGTGTCATCTCCGAAGCGCTCAGCATACATGCCCAGCGCCTTAATCGGGAAGATGAACTTGTAGTTCGGATACGAAATCATACTGTCATGACGTTAGCTACCATTATGACCGTCCAGTAAGATCGGTCAACTTACCAAGACTTGTTGAACACCCCCTCGATCGCCTCCTGCAGCCACTCTCCGTTGGCCTGCTGCCTCTTCATGATGAGTTTGACAGCCTTCTCCAATGGTTCCTTATGCGGGAAACCACCCTCAATCATTGCGATAATCACCCAGGCAGTCTGCACAACCTGACTTTGTGGATGCTGATCCCAGACACCGTTCTCACAGCTCTTGTATGTCTCGCCCCAGCCTCCATCATCCATCTGCTTGTCTAAGAAGAACTGGCATGCCCGTCTCACACGCTCGGAGTTTTCGTATTGTTCGCCAGAGCACTTCAGTGATTCGAGAGCAAACATGCCGGCGTAGGTAAAGCAGATACCCCAGCTACCGTACCACGAGCCGTCAGGGCGTTGAGCCTCTCTAATATACGATACAGCGCGGTCGCGGAATGCAGAGATCTCTGCAGTGCGGTAATCTGGATAGTAGTTTTGGAACATGTGAAGTGCGGTCACCACGGCCGTCGTGCATTCGGGGTAATCGTACTCTATCATGATGTTGCCGAAGACCTCTGCTGCGTTGAGGTGCTCTAGGAGAATACTTCCTCGTGTGGGCTCGTAGGAAGCACAGCCACCAGACGCGTTTTGCATGGTAAGAAGGACGTCAATGGCGTCTTTCACGCGGCGTTCATTGATGAGTTCGGGAAACGCGTTGCCTTTCTGCAGGATGAGTGTACTCTTGAGGCCTTCAGACGTGCAGTCGCTAACGGTGTATCCTTGCTTCCGTGTACTGAAACCCCAGGCACCCTTACGTTGTTGACGATAGCATGCGTGTTGATCTCTGGTTTCTTCAAGCATCTGCTGGTCTTCCAGGAACTCGAGACTCTTTGTGAGCATGTGCTTCCACTTCTTATCTTTTGACCAGCCGCAGGATTCGACGGCTTGGATAAGGAACGCAGTGTCCCATGTTTGCACACCATTCGTACCATTCATAAGCATACCTTCATCCTTGACCCAGAGAAACTCCGGGAGGGTTTTGAGATGCTCGCGAACGGCATGGCAATCACGTCCTTCTCTGATGTATGCGACCAACGTGTTCATAGGACCATTCACAGGGCCAAGGTTTGCGAAATCAGTGTTCTCATCCTCAGCTTCAATGAGCCACCATACGTGTTCTTCGGCACGCTTGATCATCCAGGTGGGTCGAATGTATGGAAACCAGATAGCAGCCAAGAACCAAAACAGAAGTTTGAGTATCCATGACTTGGCATGATAATTATCCGTAGAGGCGATGGTGTTTCGGTGCGCACCAAAGTTGATCGTGTCAAACGGCTGCATCAGCAGCTCGGCGCGCAATTGACGTGTAAGATCGTTCAGCGGATACGACCACTTCTTGGAGTAGATATACGACATGGGCAGAAAAACTTGTCGCATGTGTATCCACCATCTCCAAGGCGCGATGGGCACCCAATCAGGTAGTAACCATAGCTCAGGTGGACAAGGATTGACAATATCCCACTCTGTCACACCTAGCACGCTCAGCCAGAATTTTGCCCAATGCGGTGCATTGAGCGCACCACCCAGTTTCCAAAGCGTGTCTCGCGCTTTCTGCATCCGAGGCTCTTCTGCCTCTACGCCCAAAAGCCTAAGCACAGTATAGTTCATCGCGGTACCGAATACGGTGCTTTCGCCCTCAATGTGTAGCCCCCAGCCACCGTCCTCGGGATTGGCCCGCGAAAAGAGGTAGTTCTTGATTTCGGTCGCATGCGACGCTGGTACTGGTGTCTCGGTGACATACCAGGTGATCACAAGGCCAGGTAGCAGAAACATAGGGCCGCCGTATTCACAAGCCCAGTTTCCTGGTGGGAGCTGGAGTTGGGAGAAGAATTCGAGACCATTGCGTGCAGCTTCGAGGGGAGTCTTTGCAGGCTTCAGGGTAGGTTGTTCCTATAGGTTCAATCAGCTCGAAGGTCCTGTGTGGATTTACAAGAGACGACTGGAACAGGCACCAACTCACCGTATCGAGGCCTAGAAAGTATTTATCCGCTGTACTCTGTGGCCATGCCCTCATGTCCTTGTCGCTTTCGAGGTAGTGCCATGTCTGACATCCCCGGTCATCCTTCAACCTCCACCTTGTGTAGTCGGTCTTCTCATGGCCGTCCTTGGTCTTGGTCACGCCTATTGCGTCGTTCAGTATCTTTTGCGCCGCGCCGCGCTTCGTAGCGCCATTGCTTTTCTCAATGGCATGCGGCATTGTGTGTGTATTCGGTTCGTGTGGTTCCGAACGTCGTCCTACCCGTTGCGTTCACGTGTGAAAGACGTGATAGAACTGGCATGCGCCTTGTGCGGCGAGATACCCCGGAAATGGGCGTCTTGGCAGGACGCGCCATCAGAGGCGACGACGGCCTTGCCAGTCGCTGCATCCAGCATACTGGCTGAGCAACTACATGCCCACGCTAACAAAATGGAATTTCAGATATATGCTTTCAGGTCGCCTACGTGTAAACGTGGTTTGCGCGTGTTAACTTTTCCATCTCACATAATCCCCCAGACCCTGGCTTCAATGTGCATCATCATCGCACCCCTGTTATCGACCACCACGGAATCTTGAAGCCATTGCAAAGCCACACGCCGTTGTTATCCAAGCATCCCCTACGCATCTCCAAACTTTCTCAAACATCACAAATACCATAAATCTCGATACATACACAGCCACTCGCCTGGCATCGCCCCTGACTCAACAGCGGGAATCAGTCTTGGCAGGCACTCCCGCGGCGAGGCGCGCGATCGACATAAAAGTTGACCACTCGGCTCGCGCAAGGCTTGCATTCCCGCCCCCTTTCAAACTTTCGCGCGCAACACAACGCACAGATCACTAATCTTCGTATTGGCGGAACATGGGAGCATCCGAGACCGAAGCTTTGGATCGACAATGAGTGTAGGGAAGACTCATGGAGGCATGACTTCATTACATGCGTAGAGCTGGACTTGGTAGCCGCTCGGCGTGTATGCAGAGAGGAGATGAAGATCTTCATGTATGACGAAAGATTGCAGATGATGTGTAGACAATGACGGCGATGACGATGGTGACAAGGGGAGTGTGTAGATGAGCAGTGTGAATCATTGGTTGTGCGTTCATTCAATCCTCGCATTCAGTTGGCGGCGGGTATGATATGGTATGTACAGATACTATGCGTTATGTATCGAACGAGCGAGAACCTCCAGGGCAGTCGCTCTGCACGCTCAAGATCGAGTGCCCCTCCAACAATGAGACTTGAGCAATAAAGGAAAAAATGCATGTGCCATCCAAATATGAAAACACCATAGTACGCTTGAAATATGCCATAGTAAAAAGCCGTGAAATGCTAAACATGCTTCAGATTTTCAAAAGAGGGGGAAAGCGGTAATTCGTGGCTCCCGTGAAACCAATTCGGTCTTGAGTATGCGGTAATCGTGTATGCTGTGGTAGTGGTGGCAAAATAAAAATCGTTGTTTCGGGTATCGCAGGAAAAGTAGCCTCTCATCCATCTGCCCTTGGTGGGCAAACGTGATCAATCGCTCAGGTCGGGGTTTGCAACGAACAACCTTGTCCCCATGGTCATGGTCCGCTCGTCTACGCTACCCCTCCGCACCAGGTCGTCCTTACTGCCCTTTTTGTCCGTTGTAGCGGGTGGTTTCAGCATTCCAGGCGCTGGTAATTGCCCCATGTCACCGAAATTGCGTTCGCCACTGCTACCACTACCCGTACTTGTGTTTGTTTTGGTGTGCTGGAAGTAGCTGTTGTCGTTGGGCGCGTTGACATCGTATTCCGCGGGGGACGGAGTGGGTTCTTCCTTCAGGTCGGCAAGTTCGCCGTCGGGGGATGAGTTCTGCGGGGGTGTGCTGTTGGAGGATATGCGGCCGGTGGGATTGGCGTAGGACATGCGGCGCCCTGAACCAAGCGAGGAGCGGCCTGAGCCTGTGCGGTGGTGGTATTGGCCATTCTTGAGTGAGCCCGCGTCTTCGTCGTCACCTTCGTCTACCTCTGAAGCACTCAGGCGCATAGGCACACCTGAACCTGCGTATGTGACTGGTGCATATAACGACGCTTTTGGTAGACCGTGATGACGCCCAATCTTGGACCGCACACCGCCAGCCATGCTGGATCCTCCCGAGGCACTTCGCGGCGGGACGTGGTGTGGGCCGCCTGCTACTTCCATGTTTGCCCGCATCTTGGCCTGCCGTTGCTGCGCGAGCATGCGCGGGTCTTCGTACTGCGCCCTGTCACACCAGACTGTGGCCTTTTGTTTCCGCATAAGGGCGACGTAGGAGGTGGGCGAGTTACCACCCGAGCGTGTGGACGAGGAGCGACGGAGGGCGCCACTGTTGGAGCGGTTCGGGGTGCCTGTGGTAGAGCTGGTGGACGAGGTGGGCGTGCGGCGGAGACTGCTCTGGTACTGGGTTGGATATTGCGAGTTCATGGTGCTTGTGGTGGGCGATGCAGCGGGGAAGATGCCTGAGCTGGTTGTGCGTGTTCGTGAATGTCCTAGTTGGCCGTCGTTGTGGTATTGATGCTGCGGGGGTCGTACCGAAATGCCGGGGTTTGCTATGGGCTTGCGGCGGAGAGGAACAGCCCCGTAGGCAGAGGTTTGTGGGGGTTGCGCCATGACAGCCTGCATGTTTGATTGACTCTGCTTGCTTCGCGTCACGAATCACGGGAAGTGAAACACGGATCAGCGGGCTGACGTCGGGGCGACAGCGTCAAAGAAACACAGACAATGACGTTCTTTTTTGGCAAACTAGCAATCTCTTGGCTCGCGGTGAAGAGGAGCCGGTGTTTATGTAGCAAGCAAACGTGGTCTGGCGGGAGAGCTCGCTTGGCGCCCCGCTGAGAAAGGTGTTCTGCAGCCCTGTGATGCTAATGCACTGACTTCCCACGGCTTCCGGCAGTGGGCTGATGTGAGGTGAGGCACAAAGTTTGGTGATGCTTATGATATGCGGGCAAGGGACAGCGGCAGCGACGGCGGGGGCGAGAGAGTCGACGCCCCGCGGGAGGAGTCGAGATTGCAGGTGGAGGGATGGGTGATATGCGACGACCTGAGGTGCTTGGGTTGCCGTGTCGAGTCGCGGGCGGGAAGGGTCCTTAATAGCAAATGGTCCAGTCCAGCCAGAGACGCTAGAAAAGCTTACTCTAAAGAAAGAAAAGGTCAACACGAGCCATTTGAGTGTTTGAGAAGAAGAGCAGACGCCCGCTGGCTTGCGACAATTGAGCCGTAGTGCATGCACGGCGTTGCAGTGCGCGAAATGCTGACTTACATATGGATGCGGCGTCTTCGTCTTGTACTAGTCCAAGCCGGTCCTGCAGCAAGCAGCGGCACACACTCAGCTTTTGAATAGGGAATTACAAAAAAGAAACGTAGAGCGCAGTGGGTTAAGCGGGTGGGAACAAAGGGAATAGTGTGGAATGGTAGGAATTGATAGCAGCAGAATCGGGAGGAGTGCGCCCGCAAGAGGAAGAGGCCGTGTCTTGTATCTTGGGTACTCTCCGTGCTTGCCGTTGAGGGCGATCGCGCTAGAAATGGGTGAGCCGACACTTGGGAACCACGTCTCCACCACGCAAGTGTCAATGACGAAAGGTTGCTCTGCACTGTCGCCATGGCGTATTATTATACGATTACCCACGCGCGCCAGAGCACGTCCATAGCAAGTTGCTGTTAACGCCACAAAACCTGAATCCGCCGTGTACAAGAGGGCACACTGAAGTCAAAACAGCCGCCCCAGCGAAGCGGAGCCCAGTCCGTATACGGCTCACCACTACTACCTTGAGCCTTGTGCGCCGAGCATCCTGGCTGACCTGCTGCTGCATGTCGCAAACTTCACGAATCCCACTCGCTGCCGAGCATATGCTCTCCGCGTCGAATCATCGGCAAACGTGGCTCGAGCATTGCGGGCTGCAGGACCCAGTTAGCTGTGCATGATCGCCTCTGGTTGCATGCTGCTGCCTTTTTGCTTTTGAACCTCACTTTGCACGGCCTGCCAGTGCTACATTTGACACATCGCTTACTGCACCGGCTATGCTGTTTCACTCTCTTCCAAGCGTGCCGGCATCTTGGTTGCAAATCGATCAATAGCCGCAACCACTGTCAAACTTCGCCCGCGCCCATCGCCAAATCTGCCGGCGCCATCATCGCGAGACCTCACCCCAGCGCACATCCGACCAGGATACAACCAAGGCCCTGACACCGTTTCATCTAACGTGATGTGTTGAACAGCCCGCCCACAGTCCTTGCTCGTTCCCTCGCTCTCGTCTATATGCCAGAGTGGGGTTGCATGCACGTTGATGCACCATCAGCCGTTCCCCGCTCTCTAGCACTGCGCGCTCAACCATGGAACACGCTGCAACGCCAGCCGAGCTCTCCCAGATCGTGATCTCTGCGAACGTCCGAAAAATGTTGAGGCTCTTTTTTTCTGCATCACCACATCCACATCCACCGTCGCCGTCTTCGGTCAATTCTGCCCGGTAGATCCGCTTCGGCCTTCGCCGAGAATCTTCTAGTAATTAGCATTGCCACCTCCTGTGCATCTTTGTCAATAGCCCACTGCGTTTCTGATAATACCTATCGATAAACACTTTCTGTGGAGATACGGGTTTCGATGGGTATTCATAGAGGAAAAATTGGAGAACAGCCCGTACAGAGGACAAGCGTACCAGACTCTGCGTTGTGGCGTAGCATCGCGTAGCAGCATCCTGGAGCAACATCCTCCTGCAAACGCCGCCACCGAAAAGGACCCTGAAGAGCTGAATTTGTAGATCATTGCTTGATTGCGCCGCCTTCGGGTCTTTGTGACCCCGCCTTCGGTCGTATATGATTATCGCCAGCCTCAATCCTCCAAAGACAAATCGTGCGCCGCCGACATGCTCTCAGCGTCTATAAGACGCCTGCTCCCGTTGCCATGATGGTGTTGCACGCCTAACAGGCCGACGACGCGCTACCAGGCATCATCCCTCTGGAGGCGCAAATGATCAGTACAACAACGGCACATGATTCGTGACCATCCACCCCTCCACCCACACCACCAGAATCCACAGTGCCAGTGAGACCCAAGACCTTGGTTTGGAGGGTTACACAAACGTCCGCAGATCTCTCACCTGCATACAAGATCGCACACCACAATTTGCATACTCATTTTCTCTAGCGGCTTGTGTACGAGTAATGCCCCTTGGCTACGACAACGCGAGCAGTGAGCACAATACAAGGCTCGGTTTCTGCCGTG